GGACCAGCCCCAAAAGTACTGAAAATTACCACTACCTGTTCCACTTAGTACAAGAAAAATACCTCCTATCTCCCAGATTCCTAATGACAGGCTAAATATGACTAAATTACAGAGCACGCTTGATAAAGACACACACACACACACAATCACAAAATGAGTAGATTCCAGATCCTAGGGGTGTTTACTTTCATTAAGGGGGGGGGGGGGCAAAACAGCACTGTGTGAGAATTTTACAAGGGTACTCAGAATGACTGGCTCCTTCTCATTGACATCACAGCTCAAGGAAGGCCTTCCCTCAGCTTCCTAGGGCATCACTAACCCATGCCTGTCTTTCAGTCCCCTGTCCATAATCTTTATAGCATTGTCAGTATCTGAAATCAACAACTTATTTCTTATTTTGTATATTATCTATTTCCATCCTTCCACTAGAATGTGAACTTTTTAATTATTCATTATTTTATTTTATTAAGTGATTTAATGAATGGATACATGCATTGATATGCTTCTGCAGTTTTTTCTCCCGTTCCTGAGTTTCCCTCTAGAACTCTCTTTAGAAGCTAGAAAATATCTGGATATTTCCTAACTGCATCGAAGATGGAAGTTCATTTCCACTGCTACTACTGAATGGTGTATGCCCCTGCCATCCCTTCCTATTCCAAGTTATTTATTCATAAAGTTAACAGTTAACCCAGGTGAAATTTATGTATGTATACAATCTAGAAAGACATTTCCTAGTTTAAGCAGAGTTTTGTTTTTTTTTTTTCAGCCAGGAGACATATCCTGTAGGGAAACAAAACTGTTACACCCTTTGAAAGACGAAAAGGGAAGAGAGACATCTTCTCTTTCTGGAAAAGAGGTGGAAGATTGAAGCAGGAGACTACCCTCAAGAGAGCTTGATCATCCAGTGGAAGTTCATATGGTTTCAAAAGAAAAATATGTATTTTTCACCAAGGTAAATTATTATTCTCTCTGTCAGGATGAAATCTGTAAATCTGTGAAGGGTAATATATAAAAGATAATCACCAACTGTTGTCTATTTGGAAAGAGGCTAGAAAAGGAAAAGACAAATGTCCTCAAATAGATTATGGGCTCCTTGAGAATACGGGCTGCAATTTATATTTTTGGGTCTGCCATGAATGACTACCCCAAGGTGTTGTGACATATGATAATATTAAACATGCACTAAATTCCCTCCACATATGTGTGAGGGATTGGGCTGTATTTCAATGCAAGGAAAAATTCCTGAGTAGGGAGTTACCCAAAGCTAGAAATTGGGTTCCTGAGAGAGGCCAGAAATTTTTCTTTAAATTTATTTTCAAAAGAGGAGAAACCCGAACTCAGTTATCCTGACAAATGATCTTTTCCCCCAAATATAACAAATCACATGCATTTTTTCTATGCATGACTTTTCTCAGTCCCTCCAAAATGTGACCTTCCCATACATTACCATATTTAACAAGAACAGGTTGTAGTTGAGTTAGCTTTTAATCTTCCTTCTACTCACTGCAATTAAAAAATTTCATGATTTTATAGAAAAGTTACACCATTCAAGAACCATAAGTGGTATGAAAGTGATACGGTCTGAACCCTGGTTTTGCAGATGAGTAAATCTTGTTTTGGAAAGTCAGAATTGAGAGAGGTCACGCAACCTTTCTACAGTTAGTGGAGGACTTCACTTCCTCAGCAACGAGAATGGAGGGTTTGAGGACTGAAGTGCAGTTTGCATCTAAAGGCTGTTCTTTAGTATCCAAACATGGAATATAATATCTACAACAGGATCCTCCATAAATTAATATCTGCCTAAAACGGGGTTGGGGGGATTTTTTAAAAAAGGAGCAGAAGGGGCAAAGTCTCATTAAGACAGAATTTTAAAGTCGTAAGTGAACAGTGAAAATACCTGAAGTGTGTGTTACCACATTTTAAGATGCTTATTCCCTGAATGTCCCTTTGATGAACTAATTTCATTTAAAGACTTATTTGCAAATATAAGGTATTCTATTGGAAGAGTGGCTTATTATAACCAAGTACCTTAAGATACTTTTGATTGTGAGTCACAGAAATTACTCTACTTTGCATATCTGTACACATACACGTACTTAGTAGAAAACTAAGTTTCAAGAAACTGTGCTCACACTTGTCACAGGAGATAAATATAATTTTGTATTCTTTTCCACTTCATTTTTAAAATATAGCCTGTGCCAACTACAGTGACTTCAGAACTAATAGTTCTCATAGCATTTCCAAAAATGCTGCCAATTACTCTTATTAGACTATCCCTGGGTTAATACTTAACCCTCCGAGGGTTTCTACAGTGTTTCTACATAGGAAATATTTTGATAGTGGTAAGACAGCAGAGTTAAATTTCTGTAAATCACCAGTGCTTCTAACAGGTGCAAACCCCTTTGGTGTTCAATAAACGTCTGTTGCTGACAAAGTTAATTTCATCTTCTTGGAAGACCAGAGGGTCACATCTTTGATCCCACTTCTACCATTCACCTTCCCTGAAATCCTCTGCCCACAGAAAACTCCTTTTTCTCTATCTAATGTTATCTCTAATAAAATTAGTATTTTGCTCATTCTAGGTCTTGGATGCTTATCCAACACTCAACTTAAGGTTTTATAACATACGTATGCCATTTTTCTCACTGATTTTCAGACTTCCATCTCTAAGTTATGGTTGAGGGCTGTGTCCCACACATCTTCAGTAGCTTTACCAAACCAAGCCAGACTTTTTCTCAGAATACTGGTTGTCAATCAGTGATGTAGGATGCCCTAGGATTAGCCTCCAACAGAAAAGTCTCTGTGCTTGCTTTGTCACACAATGCAGAGGACAGCAACACCCTCCACTCCAGAAAAATCTCCCTGATTTAATGTTATTTCCATGGTTTGGGTACAATGAGGAAATTCTCGGTGGTTGGTCCCCACCAATTGACGATAGGAGATACACAAACAACTTTAATAATTTTCTACTTGTTTGCACTAAAAAAAAGGTAATTAATGTTCTGAAAGAGAATTCTTAAGGGAGGACATGGTCAGGTGTCGGCTGGTTAGTAGCAGCTGGGATACAGAAATCTATTATTGAACCCAGGACAGATGTCAAAGCACAGAATGAATATTCTTATCTAAATCCTGAATTCATAAGGTTTCTTGTATAGGTTTTAATTTTTGTCATTGCGTGTGTGTGTGTGTGTGTGTGTGTGTGTGTGTGTGTGCGTTTCTCTGCAAGATACTTCTCCCATTGCCTGGGTTCCTTTCCTAGTCACATTTTTTACTGCTAACATCATTCCCGCTTAGATAACTGGAATGAAGGGATTGTAGAATATTCCCCTGCAGTGGGGCTGTGCTGTAGGGTTTGAATACATGGTGAGTCACACAGCCCTCTGGGTCACCAGACTGGAGGTGGCAAGGAAGAAGTGGGGGGGGGGGGGGCGGCTATGAAGGGAAAAGAGAGCCCGGAAAAACAAAACCCCTGGAAAGTTTAGTGGGATAGCTGATCTGCCCCGGACTCCGTCTTCTATTGGGTCCCCTGAGAGCCCCCAAACCCAAATTATAGGGGTCCCTGAAGTCTCCCTGAGATGGAGAGTGCAAGCTCAAAATAGGATAGAGACACACACATCTTTTGCCTATAGTGACTAACCTCTCCAGCATAGGGATCGGAGAACGGATGGGTGTAGGTTGCAGTCCCATTCACAGAGCACCTCTGCCTCCTGAGTGTTTAGGAGAAACTCGAACTACCCGGGAAAGTGTGCTGTATTGCCGTCTGGCTTTCTTCCCGTCCTCTTATGTTGTTGTTACCATCATTTCTTTGCCGAGCACCTGGTAACCTGGACGGTGTACTGCCACCTTGCAGTCCCGGGACTCGCGAGATGCCGCTTTCTTAGCCCAACACCCCTTCAACAGAGTTAGGAAAAAAGTGTCCGCTGCTGCCTTGCTCTACCCAGAGGTGGGCTAAAGGATGTTAAGGGCTGTGTGTCCTTGGAACCAACTTGCCCGCCTCCCAGGGCGCACCAGCCAGCCAGGTTTGCGCTGTGCCTGGAATCGGATTGTCCCGGGCTCCTCCTCGCATCCAGGGCTTTAGGAGGGAAGAGAGAGGAGTCGCAGTCCCCAACACCAAGTCTGGCACTCCGAACCCCGTCTTCCAACGCCGTCCTCACTGCGGTCACTCACCCTAGGTTACTGTGCCCACCATCAGTCCCCTACGAGGAGGGCGCTGTTCCCCCAAATCCAGCCTGCGCCCCCAGCTCCGGACAGCTACCCAACTCCGAACGCTCTCCCAGGGTTTGCCGGACCCCGGTGGCTCCTCTTGTCACGTCCTGTCTCCCGGCTCTTTTTCTTGCCTCCTCTCAGCACCCCAGCTCCTCGCCAATCGTTTTCCCACTGATCCTCATCCCACTTTCACTACCTCGCCCACTACCGACCCTCTCTCCACGGGCTCCCAGGTGGTGCTGTCCCCCGAGTACTGGTTTAAGGAGCCAGGGCGGCATGGTCTCTAGGTGTAGGTCCTTTTAGAAACTCACCTCCCTCCGGAATTTGCATCTCCGGGGAAGGGACAGGGCTCCCAGAAAGCTGCCTCCGGGGACAAGCTACGAATCTCCCACCCAGACTGTCGCCCCCCTCCCCATTCCTCCCTACCCAAGGTCTAACTCGAGTTCCCCTCCTGCTCCCCGTGTTCACGCCGCGTTTTAGTCTCCGGGACTCGTGGGGTGAGCCCCAGCCCGGACTGGAGCAAGGCAGCTGCCGCGGGCGTAGCCCCACTTGTGGGCCGGGGCGAGAGGGGCTGGCACCGAGGCGCTCGGCGCTCTCCTGCTCGCCCCTCCCTCTCCAGGGACTGGAGGGGGCTGGCGGGGGCGGGAGGGCTTGCGGGCGGGGTTGGGGGGGGCTGGCGCTCATCAATTCCGCTGCCACCTCCTTTGCAGCCTGGGGGGAGGCGGGCGGGGGTGGGGCGGGAGCGCGGGCGAGGATAGGACTCTTAAGTCGGGAGAAGTTTGCGCACAGCTCACAGCTGGGCGAGGGAAGGAAGGCGCCCGGAAGGTGAGCCTCCTGGACTTTGGGGAGATGGAAACAACGCATGGGGAAAAAGCAGTTACCTTTTAGCCCATAATACAAGCTGGGTCTAGGTTTAAACCATCAGTTAAGGCAGAAGTAAAGTGTCAGGGAATCGGGAGGGAGGGCAGGAGGAGGGCTGAGGACTAACGCAGTTTGCTCTCTCATCAAACTAGGAAAGCCAGCCCCCCAGACAACTGGGTGGGCTGCGCCGCGCGGCTCGCGGACCTTCCGGGGTTGGAGAGGTGCGCACCCCGTGCACCTCACCCTGAGGCTGACATCTCCTGCTCAGGAGATGGGCGCTGTAGCTTGAGTTCCTGAGTCTCTGGAGCCACCACCTGCGAATGCCCTTCGCTTCTACTGAGCTGTGCCCAGCAGCCCTGTGAGACTATTCCAGGTAAGGAGGGTCTGGGAATGAACGGGACTTAAAGCTTTGGGATGTTCCCGGGGATGGTTAGCAGTGGAAGGGCACAAGGTACCTTGTTTTTTGATTGCAAAACTGCAGTTTGATTGTGGTGCTTTGAGGTTCAAATGTAGGGTCAGCTTTAGTCTCTGTCGTCTCACTTTACCGTTGATTAGAGAAAAGAGGGTTGTCCTGGGAAGGTGCTACAACTTAGGATTTCATATTGCAGGCTCCTCTGAATTTTTTGTGACTTTCACTATGTTACTAATATCAATTTTCTCTCAAAAGTTTTATTTTCCAACTTACTGGGTATGAAAATTACGGGGCTGAGGGTTGTGGATTTTTTCCAAAAGGTGTTTATTAACTAACAAACAGATAATATCGGCATCTATGTGATGTGTCATCGTTGTTCTGGATATTGGAAATGAGTACAGTGGTGAATGGCGTTGCTTGTTAAGTCATGTTTTACAGAGAATTATTTTCCAACAATCATTTATGCATAGCAGCCATTCTTCACACCTATTAGGAAAAATATGTTGTGTGCGTAGTTTCCAAAAGGGTACTCTTTTTTCATGATGCTCTTTCCAAGCCTGGGTGAAAGACATCAAGAAAAACTCTAACAGATGAATTCTTCTTCCCCAAGCAGTCATTTTCCTTGAGGTACAAGGAAATCCAATCAAAGTCAAACTCCAACAATCCAGTTCGATTTTTAACCCATTATTCAGGCTTTACCTTGCAAATATGCCTAAGAAAAGTTCTACCTGAAAGCTTTACCTAATATTATATGGTGTATGCGAGACTAGGAGGCAGGGTTCCATTTGCCGATCTTCGGGAGACCCCGACAATTTCGTGGCTCTAGTTAGCCTAAACCAAGACATCTGTTCAAGGCTATTTGTTGAAATTATTGGGTGATGGAAAGTGAAATGCTCAAAAGAAATCAAAGTGTGACCATGTAGTTACTGAAAATAATCTTTAAATAGCAGAGTGTCTAAGTTTGAGTGTGTTTTAAATGGTAAGAGAAAGCAAATATTTCATACATTTGGGCCACTTTGGCTTACCAGTAAAGATAGAGTTGGAATGCTTTTAGTGTTGTGGGATTTGTAGAGTATAATTTGTAATAGCATGTTGCTAGCCTACTATGTGTTCAGTTAAAGAACTCAGCTTATAAAAGTAGAAAGTGCTGGTTCTCTACACTGACATTGTGAAAGGAACTAAGGTGATTAGATTTGCAAACATCTTTAGTTTAAGTCAGCATTCTCAGTGGGCACTCATTTCTACTCAATATTTTAACATAGCTGAAAACATCCATCAGCCAGGATTTGTTTTGGTTCAATGCCTCTAATCTACAGTTAATTTTGGGAACTATAGCCGTAAGAATAATATTCAGTCATATTGTAAAATGCTCTAAGATTATTTATTGACCACACCAATACACTGAGTAAACATGAAATCCTTATTATAACTTATTCACAGGAACACATAAATAATCTTAGAGTTGTATTGTTTCATGATGCTTGGAGTTGAAGAAAATTACCTGATATAAATACGGCTTTGGTTTCCCATTTTGTTATGTATTTGAATTCCAGATAATGAATGATGATGGATGTATAAAGGTAGCATTTGTTTCAATCAGTTAAAGAAATGGAGCTAAATCTTAGTATAGTGGTATTGTGGCAACTGTGTTCTTGGTGAACTTCTCAGACTCTTTAAATGTTGACATGAATGAAGATATTATCTACTGTTGTGTTTTACTGCAGTAAAAATGAAATGGAAATAGGAGATGTGATATTTTCAATGATAACCTAAACCAGTGTTCTCAACTCAAGGCTGCAAATTAGAATCAATGGGAGAGCTTTCAAAAGAATAAGGTTATCTAGACCCTTCCCCAAACCAATTAAATCAGAATATCTGAGGAAGGGTCCACTTTTTTTTTATGTGATTTAATGTGAAGCCCTGACTGGGAACCACTGTTTGAGATGGTTCCTGTCAAATTTGGTAGAGCCCGTTAATTTTGGAGGTTCTTGGTGAAAATAAATGCCGTATGTTCTACTGTCGGTTGAATCTTTTTTTCTTTAAAAACTATATCTAATTTGATTTCCCAATTAGAAGAAAAAGAGGTTGTTTTCCCTGATGGTAGATGTTTAAACCATAATAGCTTCTGGGAAAAACATGTTTTTTTCTCCAGAAAACAAGCTATTGAGTTTGAAGCTTACCTGACCATCCAGAAAATGCTTTCGTAAATTAGCTCTAGCTTGGAAAGATATTGGAAATAATGCTTTAAGAAACATAGAATTTGTTTTCATTTTTTAAAAGACCTGAATGATGTGTCATGTGCAAATATATACCCTTTGAAAGGAGAGAAGGAGGAAAGTAGTACCATTGTCTTTGGCACACCAACTAACATACCCCAGGTGCCAACTATGTTCTAGCATTTTCACATAAATTACTTTACTTAAGGCTCACAAGAGCTTTGTGAGGTACCAGCTATTGTTTGGATTTTGCATATGAGGAAATTAAGGACCCATTAGGTTAATGAACTTGCTCAAAGCCACAAACCATGTAAATTTAACACAAACCAAGGTCTTCTTAGTCTCAGTTCAAAATGTAATAAAAGATATATTTACAAACATTTCTTAAAAATTAAAGGCAGCAGTTTTTTTAAAAAGCAATATTGGTTAAGAGCACAGATTCTAGAATGGCTATGCTTGTGTTTTATGCCTGGCTCCATCATTTTCTAAGAAGCTGTAGGATTCCAGGCAAGTAATCTAACCTCCCCATGCCTTAATTTCCTTTGTAAAAGATTTCTCTAATGACAATTAAACAAATTAATATTTGTAAGTCACGGTGGGTAGGTGCCTGGTGCACAGTAGGTTCTATGTAAGTGTTATACTTTTTTAAATGCCATTCATTAAAAAATATTTTTGATTGTTTGTTATATGTCAAGCATTGCATTAAACCTGAAGATACATAAACACATACGTCATATCCCTATCCTCAAGGATTTTGTGTCCAATAAAGAATGACCAATACATAAGTAATCATTTCATTCTGGTATGAGAGTTTCTTCCAGTTTAATTATAATCAAAAGCATTATTTTATGTGACAACTTTGTGCTTTTCAATGTTAATATGATCTTCCAGAGCTCCATATAATAAGGTTAAAATCAATTGATAATAGGTTATGTTGTCACAATTGTTTTCAATTCTATCAAAACACAGGAGCCAGTATTAACGTATGTTTCTGGCTTTACTTTATGAGTTTAGAAAACCGGTCATATGGAACTGTTTGGGGTCTCTAGAATTTTATGTTAGACGTGAATAAGTTAGAGACAAAGAATTGGTAGAAAATGTCATCATAATATATTCCTCAGTACTTCTAAATGCTATTTTTTTGGATTGGTATTCTGAAAAGAGTGTTATCTGATTGGAATGTAGTTTGTTTTGTTTTAAGAATAATAATTTTAGGGGAGGAAGAGTTGATCAAAGAGTAGAGTTAAAGGTCTCTAACACCAGCTGGCTTGGCAAGAATATGTATATGTCATCAGAACTGGCTATGCTTCTTCCACTATGCCTGTGGCTCTATGCCACTGCCCTGTGTCACTTCACACAATACCTCCAGGGTACCTGTGAATACCTCACCGGTCTAAGATTCTGTCCTCATTCAAATGAAAAGTCCCCCTTTATTAAAAATAGTGTATAAATTGGTATTCTTTGTAAAAGAAGAACACAGTACTCTAAACCTAAGGAGATATTTCTCAAAGAAATAAAGTACCTAGCTCGGTGAAATATTTTCTGTTTTTGTAATCAATATTTAACCATTCTATCTCATTGAAATGTCTGTTGCAAATGTATGTCTTCTTCTCTCTTATCAAGTCTCAAGGCTACCCCCAGTTTTTCCTATGGATGTTGCATTTCTCTTCCTTCTACTTTCACTGCCACCCCTTTATTTTGAGCATTTATTATTTTTAACAAAATAGTTAAATATTCTCCTAATATTCAGTTACATTCAGCCTCCTTGATGCATTGAGTGTTATATAATAGGGTCAGACTTATTTTCTAAGCTCCCATTTTGTCACCTTCTGTTCAGAATTATTCAGCGATTGCTGAGGGACCATAAGACGTAGAACCCTCTCTTCAGCCAGGCATTTAAGATGTTTCATGATATAATCCCATTTTATCTTTCCTATTCAAGTCAAGTTGGAAACCACAACAATTCCCTAATTCCAGTTCTGAAGCCATAATGACGCTGCAAAAATTGACTCCAGGTTTGGAGTCCATCCTTCACTTTCAACCCTTGTGCCCTCACCCCTCAATCTCAGTTTATATTCTGTTGCCTCAAAATCGAGGTTTGTAGTGGGGGGGGGGCGGACTTTACATCAGTGGTTCAGTGGTGAAGCTGCATTGCTTTGCATTTTGTTTCTTTCCACAGCCCTGGTCTTCATCCCTGCCTTTTACTTGTCTTACATAGTTCAGAATCCGGCATTTCAAATCTTACCTTCCTCCATCCTGCAAAATGTCTTAGTCATTCTCTTGTAACACATTCAACAAATTTCCATCCTTAAAGCTTTGCTCATATTTTTAAACTCAGTACATATTTACTAAATGCCTATTATGTCCTAGTTGGGGGATTTTGTGACGGGTTACAGCTCCGGGCTTCCTGGGAACTGCAGGACACAGATAGATCAACAGATAGTTACACCATCGTGTGGTAAGTACTCCAATAAAGAAATGCTATGAATGTTGTGGAAGGAGGGAGGAACAGAACTGAGCGGAGCATCAGAAAAGCTTTCTGAGGGAGGTGACCCTAAAGGGGACATCATCCGGCATTGATATGACAAGACAGAAGAAGCCCAATAAGGAGGGGAAGAGACGAGTGTGCTACAGGCAGGACACAAGACTCTAAAAAGCCCTGGAGGTTTAAAACAACATGGTGATTTCAGGAAGCCATGGGTATTTGGGTTGGTGCTGGGGAGGTCAGCAGAGCAGGGCTTATGT